GGCTCAACACCCTACGAACCAATAAATGTGGAAATAAAACAACTTTTGAGAATTCAACACAGGATTTGGCGAAGAAGCATTTATAGATTTTATAGAGAGTCTATGAATGTTTTTACAATTAAACTAACTTTTAAAATGATAAGAGGGTTGAAAACCATAAAATAAACGCTGAGCCAAAAGCATTAAGTAGCTGAAAATTGTTATAAAATGTGAAAGAATACAGTAATTTTTTTTATTATTTTCTAACTTTTATTATTTTTTTATTTAAAATTCCAAACTTAAGAATTAAAACCAAATTATAAATACACATAATGATGCATACACTCTTTCAATACCCCTAAATGAAAGTTGAAATCAAAACAAGCTTGCAATTACATTTTTTTTAACCCACTGACGGTTCTGCACGCAAAAAATAATATTTTAACCTGCAGTCTTCTCCTCAGTTTTTCCATAATATTAGATAGAAGAAACATGTATTAGGGAGAAACATTCTCCCAATTTTACCCATCTGCTGACCCACCAGCGAGTTAAAAGGTTTTAAGCGTTTTCAGAAAAGAAATTATATAAATCAACATTTTCCAAAAATTAATTAAAAACAAAGACATTTAAATTTATTGAAAATTAGATTTGTCCCTGTTGCATTGTACAGGGTTAGCACAAATAAATGTCTAGAATTTACACATTTATATTTTCCAAACAATTATACGTATTGCAATAAATGATAAACGAAATTAAAGAAAAATATGACAAGTTTTTCTTTTCTTTTTGGTTGTCAAAGGGAAAGTTTATGCGTGACTCTTCTTTTCCAATGACAAACAGTTAACATGTAATTAAGTTCGCTCCGCACATGTTGAAATGTCGCACTCAAAACATGTGTAACGAACTCTCCATTTATCATTGGTTCCTTAAACTCTGTTCATAAAAAGAAATTATTTGGCATAAGATCCGAGAATTTTGATAACCATGCAATTAAAGTTCAATCGTTTTAATCCGCACTCCTAATGATATTCAGGCATTAATTAGTTTACCAGCACTAACTAAAAGAGTTCTTGAAGATTCATACAGTTGTAACCTCGTGGTTCAACTTGAATTAAACAATATATTTATAGCAATCTATTAACAAGTACTAACACGAGCATTGAATAAGTTCTTCAAGATTTAGACTTCTGTAATCTCGTGTCTCAGTTTGAACAGGTTACAAGAGTCCGTTATTTAACTAGCACTAACTAGGACATTGAATGGTTTATGAATATTCACACTATTGCAATCTCGTAACTAAACATGAACTTGTATCAATTGAACCGTATATTAACAAGCACTAAATAGGACATTGAATGGTTTCTGAAGATTCTCACTGTTGCACTCTTGTAAATCAACACGAACAGTATACCCGCATCAATTGAGCTATGTATTAGCTAGGCCATCAAATGGGTTCTTAAGATTCTCAATGTTGCACTCCAGTAAATCAACACGAACAGTAAACTCGCATCAATTGAACTATATATTAACTGGAATTAACTGGGACTTATTGAATGGTTTCTGAATATTCTCACCGTTGCAATCTTGTAAATCAGCACTAACAGTATACTCGTCTCTATTGAACTGTATATTAACTAACACTAAATAGGACATAGAATGGTTTCTGAAGATACTCACTGTCGCTATCTTTTAAATCAGCACGAACAGTACACTCGTATCAATTGAATTACATATTAACCAGAACTAGGGTATTGAATGGTTTCTGAAGATTCACACTGTTACAATCTCGTAACTCAACACGAATACTCGTATCGTTTGAACTGTATATTAACTAGAACTAAATAGGACATTTTGAATGGTTTCTGAATATTCTCACTATTCCAGTCTTGTAAATCAACACGAACAGTATACTCGTCTCTATTGAACTGTATATTAACTAACACTAAATAGGACATAGAATGGTTTCTGAAGATTCTCACTGTCGCTATCTTTTAAATCAACACGAACAGTGCACTCGTATCAATTGAATTATATATTAAACAGAACTAGGGTATTGAATGGTTTCTGAAGATTCACACTGCTTCAATCTCGTAACTCAACATGAATAGTATACTCGTATCAATTGAACTAGCACTAAATGGGACATTGAATGATTTCTGAAGATAATCACTGTCGCAATCTTTTAAATGAACACGAACTGTATACTCGCATAAATTGAACTATGTATTGACTAGGCCATCAATTGGGTTCTAAAGATTCTCACTGTTGCTCTCTAGTAAATCAACACGAACAGTACACTCGTATCAATTGAATTACATATTAACCAGAACTAGGGTATTGAATGGTTTCTGACGATTCACACTGTTTCAATCTCATAACTCAACACGAACATTATACTCGTATCGATTGAACTGTATATTAACTAGAACTAAATAGGACATATTGAATGGCTTCTGAATACTCTCACTGTTGCAATCTTGTAAATCAATACGAACAGTATACTCGTCTCTATTGAACTGTATATTAACTAACACTAAATAGGACACAGAATGGTTTCTGAAGACTCTCACTGTCGCTATCTTTTAAATCAACACGAACAGTACACTCGTATCAATTGAACTATATAATAACTAGAACTAACTAGGGCATTGAATGGTTTCTGAAGATTCACACTGTTTCAGTCTCGGAACTCAACATGAATAGTATACTCGTATCAATTGAACTAGCACTAAATAGGACATTGAATGGTTTCTGAAGATTATCTCTGTCGCAATCTTTTAAATGAACACAAACACTATACTCGTATCAATTGAACTATATCGTTTACTTTACGTTCCCAAGTAGCACAGGGATATTGTAACAGCTTTAGTCTACATCGACCGCCATTGTCAATATTGCCGAAAATCGACATAGTGTATACGATATTGTACGATTCCCGTCGATTTCACATTAAAAGTCTGTTTGTAAAAATTTTCATTTTAAATTTTATTGTGTTCTTAAATCAAAATTAATCATTTAAAAGACAAAAAATGACGTCAAATTGTTATAATTCCAAAAAATAAATTTAAAATATAAATTTAGAGATATTCGAAATGCTGAGAGATATCGATCGACGTTCCCCAACGTTTTTACAATATCGAACAATATTGTTTCGCGATATTGAATATACGTTATAAAAGGGGTCCATTTTTATATAGTTCAATGTTTCGCTACGATATTGTACAATGTTCAAAGCTAAGTTTTTACGATATCGTTTTTGTGAATTGTGCTACTTGGATTCAACGTTACTTTTCAACCAACGTTTTTACAATATCGAACAATATTGTTTTGCGATATTGAATATACGTTATAAAAGGGGTCCATTTTTATATAGTTCAGTGTTTCGCTACGATATTGTACAATGTTCAAAGCTAAGTTTTTACGATATCGTTTTTGTGAATTGTGCTACTTGGGTTTAACGTTACTTTTCGTTTACGTTCCATTTACTTTATGCTTAATGTTTTTACAAACAAATTATTAAAACGTCTATCAAATCAAAGCTGACATTTGGAGTTGACCCCCGTGATGGAAAAACATCTCCGCATCCCAACCCAGAGCAGCATCTTTAGTTGTGGATGACTAACTTTTGGCTCTCCAAAACTATCGAGTCTCCTCTCGCTCTTCCCTTTTTAACTTTATGGTTTTGGAAGAGAAAAAAAAAATCTTCTCTCCGCTTAATAAACTCCGGTGTACTCACCCCCTTGTTCTTATATTTAACAGGCAAAAAAACAGCCAGCTGTTCTCAAGAAGATAACGCTCTTTCTTTCTCTGGCTGTTCCTTAAGTGCTTCGCGCCATAGATTCCGATCTTTTCCAATTTTTTTTAGTTCTTTTTTCCCTCCTCAGTCTGTTATGGTGTACTTTCTTGGCGACAAAACAACGGCATCTTTTCTCTGAAATTTTGGCTCGTTAGAACGTTTCCCTCGTTGCATCAACTAGGTTGACTGAGATCTAAAGAGCTGATTCTCGCCATAAGAGAGGGAAGGTAATTTCTGGATTTAAACACTCATTACCTTATCTACTGGAAAGACGCTTTTTCTTTCTAAGAAACTATTGTGGAACAATTTCGAAAAATTAAAGTTTAACGAGCTTGTTTCCGTTTCTTGTTTGATGTGGGTTGTTTAAATGCTAAATTTATCATGCTCTTGCTTTTTAAAATTGTCTTTTGATTTGTTGGAGTACCCTTTTAGGAGAACAAATTTTGAATTAATTAGTTTGGTATTTTTAAATTTTGATTTATTTATTAGGATTAAATTAAGTAAAAAAAAACTAAATGGTGATATTAATACATTGAAATTTTTTTTTTTATTGAAGTAGTAGATGGTTAAAATTTGTTAGAGGGATATTTTTTTACCTTGCGTAACTTAATAATTAATTATCCTTTCATTTTTTAATTTTATCAGCTCTATTCGTCGATAATGAATTTAAGGAATTACCTTTAACGTTACTTTCTAATCAACCAAAACATAATAATCATTATGTTTTGGTCTATTTTCTGCATTCATTAGACATAAAATTATTTGTTAAATAACTTGCGGCTAATATCCCTGGCACCAATCACGGCAAAAACGGTCAAAAACGTAATTATTATTTTTATTAATTTTGCTACAAACTATAAAATTATAGTTTAATCGCTTAATGTGTAATCGATCTGAGCATACATTTAAAGATCGTTCATGTTAAATTTCAATAATCAATAATAATTATCAACGTGGCGTTGAAAAGAAATGGAACAATCTACTCCCATAGGGAGTCAGCTAAGAAATGACTAGTCAAACGGACATTATCCGTATGAGTGTCACGTGATCTAGGTTTTAATGTTAGCGAAATGAACGTCATATTAATAAATCCCATTGCTAATTTAAAGCAATAAAAATATTTACACTGTTGATTAAATAAGTAAAAAAGGGAATGGCATCAATAACATTCATCTTCATACAAACAACAACTTTATATTTTTTAGCTGTCAATATTTAAGAAAAATTTTAATCTTGTAAAACAGAGAATCGTTATTAATTTATTTCAAATTTTGACTTGAATTAATTTATATTATGTTCACTAAATCAAAATCTGACACACTTAAAGAAATTTCTAGCCTCGAAAGACTTGTGTCAGCGGAAAATAGACCAAATTTAATTTTGAACAGCCCATATAATGCTCTCGAAGAAAATACCTCACCGCTGGATTCATCTTCCAAAACCTACGAAGAGTGCTTAAAATCAAACGATAATTATATTGACAACGATATTTTCGGTAACAGTTCATCCAGAACATACGTAAAGTTACCACAGATTCCAGAATTTTTAAAAATTAAATTACCCTATGATGATCCCAACAATACATCCTGGATAATTCAAAGCCTTAAATCAATCAGTAAGACCAGTGCTCAAGAAAATAGATCCATAGAAGTACTCCACGAAATTGAAAACATATTGACTACTCAGTTTTACTACTGTCTTAATCAGAACCATATATTGAAGAGGGAATTAGCATGTGCAAGAGCTGTGGTAAAAAAGGAAATTTTCTGCAACTCAGTGAATTTTGCAGAGCTTTACAAGAAGGCAGTTGATGGCAAATGGAAAGGTAGAGAAGAATTAATTCTCCATTTGAAGGAGAAGATTCATGGATTAACCCACTTAGTTGAGAAAAGAGAGAAGGATTTGGATATACAATGGCCAAAAGGCAAAAGAATCTCCTTTTTGGAGTTGACTGGAAACCCAATGGAAACTTTACATACCGAATCAGTGAATTCTTTTTCATATTTAGAAGAAGAGAAAGAAAAGCAATTGAAAGTACAACAGCACTTGAGAGAGAAGCTTGGATACTTCAGTAAAGCGTAGGTACATCAATTATTTTAAATTCCGTATGCATACTAGTACTAAGTCTTCAACCATATCATACAATGTTATAGATATGATGTCAATGTTATCATTTATGATGTCAATATTATTATCATTTGCTAAGTTTTCATGGTATGTGGCATTTTCTTTTGATGTTAATCCTATTTCTCTCCCCTCTTCATGCATTGCAAGGAGCTGAGATTTAGTTATATGTTAGTATACTACGTTTCCTTTGCATACTTTCATTAGTCTTCTTATGATATTGTTTTTTTGTTTTTTTCTTTTCCTTAATTTGGAGCAAAACAATTGTGATACATTTTAGTTTATTCTATTTGTGGTCTTGAACAGTAGACTCCTTCTTGAGTTTGCGACTCTTAATATTGTCCTCCTTTGTAGTTTTGTAATTTTAATACATTCCACCTTGTTTGTGGTTAGTGATGTTTTGATTATAAAACAACTCTTAGAAATTGGTGAAGGGAGAAAATTCTTCGGAACATTTTCGTGTTACTGTAGCAGTGTTGGTTGTTAAAAAAAGAAAAAGAATTTTCCTGAGATCTAAAACAATGGCAATTACAAGATATTAAAAAGAAAATGGTGATAAACCTTTCCGCTTCAAAGACTTATCATGATAGTAAACTTGTTATGAGATTGCAAACATGAATTTGTCACAAGTTTGTTTTTCTTGCAAAGTTTGTTTGCTGAAAAACCTTACATTGTCACTGATTATTCTTAACTTCCTTTCGAAATAGCAGAAATCAATGCTAGATTTTAAACCTCTTCGCAAATGTGACGTTTTAACATAAAAACTGTTTCTCAGTTTTATTTTCATACAGGGATTTTACAAGTTTCTGAAATTTCATCTAGAGGGCAACACAATACGAATTAACATCTAATTACCTACATGGAAATCGGAGTGTTTTTCACCAAAACGAGTCAGTCTGATTGATTCGGGAAAAAAATATTGTTATGCAAGTGAATGAATGAACAGATATAGTAACAAAAAACATTCGGAATATGAGCAGAATAGTTTCAACACTCTTGAATTTTAAACGAATTTGTCAATCATTAATACAGTAAACCAGGAAAGAGCATTGGAATACCTAAAATTATAATAATAATAAACCATAAGACTCTGGTATTGACCATTCCCGTTTTACCCACATGTATGTACAGAAAAAAGAACCTATACAATCTTGAGAGTCATCACCATTCATCAGCCATATTTGTACTGGCTGTAGAGGATTCAGATATTTGAGTAAAAAAAAACATTTCGACAGGTTTTATCCTGCTTTTCAATTTTCGCTTGATGGCCCCATAAATCGCAGTCTTATATAGGATTATAAGATATCTAAACTATAGGATTATATTCCATACTTTAAGAAAATATATATTAATTTGACCTTGTGCTCAGTTTAAACCTAGTGCCTAGCGCTGTATAGCTATTTCTGGCTATTTAGCTAATAAATTTTAACCAATCGATTTGAAAAATGCGACTTATCATTACAATATTCCAAGCCCTTAAGTTATTTTCTGACTTTCCATTTTTATTGATTTACTTTTATTTATTTATTTTTTTAGAAACAAAGATTTGGCTGAGGAAGCAAATCATCTGAAAAAAGAAACATCTGTGAGGACCTTAAGTTCAAGTGACGATCTGTACAAAAAGCTGAGAGATCTGGAAATACAAATCAAACATTGTTTGGATAGAAAGTCACAAGACATCAAGTCTTTGACGAAGGAAGAGTCTTTGACTTACGAGCTGGTAAAGGAAATAGCAAATCTTAAAAATCGAATCCAGAAAGAGAAACAAGTAATAGCGGAATCTGAAGAGCGATTAACCTCTCTGAAATCATTTGATACAAATAGCGTCATGCAAAAAGGTAGAAATAGCATAATCGAAAGCACAAATCGTTCCATTAAAACACTCGAAGACATGGCCAGAGAATACCACAAACAATTAAACCATTTACGCCTCTTTGTTAATGATGATAACACAATCAGTTTTATTTCTTCCGAAAATCACAAGGAAATCGCGAGATCTAGATCTAAAAATTTATCTGGGGCTCAAATTGATAATTCTAAGAACATCAGTAAACGAAGTTACAATCAAGTTTTGGTGCCAGTTAACGCCAAAAGGAAAGCTGAAAAAATCTTGAGATTTAGATCACCTCTCACAAGTGAAATGATCTTTCCCGTTTTAACAGGTGGAACTTTGGAATGTAAGCCATCACTTCTGGAAGAATTTTACAGGATCAAATCTTCCTGTGAGAGAAACGAAGAAAGAAATCTTGACCGATTGGCTAACATGTATGTACACCTTGAAAAGATGCGTGATACGATGCAACAGCTTCTACAAGAGCAGTCCACGTTGTTTAATGTCATGTACAAGAACAGGCTTCTAGGTGGAATATACAAGCAACTATGTAGTAAAAATACTGGTCTAAAATCTGAAACATACAGGGATGTGAAATGCTTGGAGCACTCCAAACATCTCGATGGAGCTAAGATACTGCTGGGTGCCTTAAGAGATGAAAAAAAGTTTTTAAATTATTGCATAGACCGAATTTACCATTGTAAGGAAGATGATCTCGACTTTCTTATTTCAGGAATGAGTGAAATTGAGAATTTATTCCGTAACGGATTATGTGATTAATAGGAAATTTATGTTTAAAGGAATCAACAATATCAAATAAAAATACAATCATGCATTTAGTATTTTTTTTTTTAAATTAGAATTTATTGTATTTAAGTATTTATTGTATTAAGTGCATTTAAGTGACATAGCTTGTTTTCCTTTTTCTATTGACCAAGCAGTTCTTCCTCTTATTTTTTTTTGTGTGACTTGTTTGTAATTTTCATCTGGGTCTCTGAGTTCGCAACCTTCAATCAGTGTTACGAAAATGAAGAAAGTTCTTCATTCTAGAACTGAAATTCTACAGAGTAAAATACTGTTTGTATAGTCTTTCAGAGAAGAGGTGTAAATTAACGTATACATGAAAAGGCGTATAACTGAAAATTGAAAAAAAATAATAGTAATACATAGTGAATATGATAATTTTGATAACTTTATAGCATTCATAGCTTTGCTTTTAACCTTATTGACATAGAAAGCAGTAGAAAGAATAAAGATTAAAATTGAAAATAAAACATCTGTTAAGAAAGTTAAATATTTTGAGTACATAATTATATATCATTCTTTATATACATGTAGAAATTTGAGTAAAAATTTCTTTGAGAGAAAAATTGTTTTGAAAGCTTCACTTTGAGATTCTCGAATTCAGAACAAAAATTTAAATATTTAAAAAAAAAAGACAAGAGAAAACGACGTTTAACGGATAATTTATGATTTGAAACGAATTATTTTAACGTTGCTGAATNACATGTAGAAATTTGAGTAAAAATTTCTTTGAGAGAAAAATTGTTTTGAGAGCTTCACTTTGAGATTCTCGAATTCAGAACAAAAATTTAAATATTTAAAAAAAAAAGACAAGAGAAAACGACGTTTAACGGATAATTTATGATTTGAAACGAATTATTTTAACGTTGCTGAGATTAAGAATGAACTACGACTGTAATGAAACAACGTACAAATAAAGAAGGCGAATATATAATATGAGAAATGTTTAAATGGTACTTTGCTTTATGTCTGTTTATTTGTATTCTTTTCACGCTGTTTAACATTATTCCTGAGAATTAGCGCTTATAGATTTATTCTGTTTCAAATTTTAAGCTTTTTATTAATCTGTAGTCGGAGTTAGTAGAAGTAATGGTCCCATCACACTGCCCAACTCTACATGTACTTTTCCGGCTCTGAAATCGCCGGAACATGACATTACATTATACTAATACATTTCGAACCACTAATAAGACACGATTGGAATAAACTGCTGTCCCATCAGACGCAGAATCAAGTGTAGGGAATCGAACCCGTGGTAGGCGAAGATTTCGCGCACCAAGCCGATGGGCTGCAGCATTTCAATGTGCTATGAAAGGTTAGTATTACTAAAGCAAAGAACAACCTGAATAAACCGCAAATGAAAGTACATAAATGGACATACTATAGTTTCAGTTTTATAGTTTAGTTAGTTCAGTTCAGTGTCACTGAAGAAGGTTTTTGTTTATTAAACCGAAATTATAGTATGTCCATTTATGTAATTTCATTTGTGCTTCAATCGCTTTGCATTAGTCTACATAGCACAGAATATAACTCATCTTTTGTTGGAAGGTTAGTTTCATTCCTTAATGTAAATTTTATTTTTTAATATAAAAATATAGAAAATTTACACCATTTTAAGAGTCATTAGTGAAGCAAAAATTCTTTTCTCAAATTTTATCCTTCTAAGTTAGATTTTTATTTACCAGACGCTGCAATGTAAATTATTCTTTTCGTATATTTTTTTTTTTACTAAGATGTTCCAGAAATTTTGATCTTAAAGCGTTAAAGTAAGTGGAAAGAAAGCAAAAAAATTGGCATGAACCAAGTGTGCTTGTCAAAGAGCTACATTTTTCAGCACGTTCAAGACGAAGTCACTGCAATGCCAAGCAAAGAGATGAATGAGAGAGCTGTCTTCGCCATCTTGTTTTCAGTGGCAAGCATTTGCCAGCGAGACATGTCTGCTGCTTCCATGCAAAAATAATCGTTAATTACAGTCATAGAGTCGGATTATCCACTAGACAACTGCCCAGGGCTATACAAAGATAATGGAGATGGTAAAAAATTTTAAGTCAATACACTTTTGTATGTCCCTTATAAAAGAGACTCTTTCATAATAACGACTGATACATGAAGTCCCGTTTGTACATTCGAATTGGAAAAAATAATGGAAATAATTTATAAAGTTTTGAAACTTTGGGAAAATATTCTTATGAAATCTAGCATTTTTTTTTAAAAATTCGATAAATTGTTGCCTTACAGATTTAAGATCGTTTAAAAACTTATGTCTGATCTGATGCGTACCTTTCATTATCGAGACCATATTTCGTCGACTGGCCTGTGTAGGGGGCAGGAAACAGTTCTTGCATCAGAAAGGTCCTGGGTTCGAATCCCGGGCAATGCATGAATGTTTCTTTCTCTCTCTGTGTGTTCTACGTCTTTTCTCCTTTGCGTGTGAATGTGACCCGCCCTATTAACGGGTTGTGGTTGTGTGAATGGCGTGGCAGAAGTCGAATTCCTGGCCATAGATGGCGCCACTGAAAAACAGGAACAATCGCACCCCCACTGCCTAAACAGGGATGCGAAAAATAAAAAAAATATTTCATTTAATTTTTTCCCATTCCGAAGAAAATTATATTTGAAAACAATTTTAAATCAAAAATATTTCCATGAGTCAATTTATATTCAAAGAAAAGGCTTAAAACCACCATTTCTTTTACTATTACAGCATGATAAACATAATACATCTGTAATTCTCTTTGAACGAATTACGGATACACTATCCCTTAAATTTTTAGTTTAGAAGATTGCTGATAAGGCACTTGTTTAAGAAGTTTATGAAGTATTAACTATTTTGAACTATATTAATAATTAAAGGAGTGAATTGCATATAGATCTGAGGAAATTAGCCTCCTATTTATTAGTCATGACTAAGTAGTTGTAACATTTCTCTGCACTCACGATACAACGATCTCCCTTAATAACTAACATTTTCATTATGACACACAGTTGTTATTATAACGAGTGTCGATTGCACATGAACATTGCCCAAATAAATAAATAAATACAAATTTCATGAAAACTATTATTATTTACAAGAAAATATTAGGAAAATTTCACAATTTTGCAATATTATTTCGTAAGAATTAAGAAACTGTAACCGTACCGCGTCAATTGAGTATCTAAATAGAAACCTTCTAAATTAGCACCAAGAAGAAAATTCTAACTGAGAAATTTGGAGGAAAAACAAGAATATCTCTCGGAAAAAGATAAAGTTTCACTTTTATTTAACTGTATTATGGATAGCACAGAGGTTATAATCTTGGAGTAAAGGTAGAGCACATCATTAGGATTGAGAATCGTATTGCCATAATAACATCGCCAACTTATTGCTATAAATAGCCGTTAGGGGTGCTTTCTCATTATCAGCTGGTTGTTCTTTAGTATTTAAACCGGTAATTTTATTTTTCTAGTTCTTATATACGTTAATGTTATGTTTGCTTATAATTATCTAAAACTGCATTCAAATAGACTCATTAACACCTGTTTTATTGCAATTTAATGATTTGGTGAATAAGCTAGTTAAATCATTAAATTACGAAGAAACAACTGTTTCTGAGAATTATCAATCAAATCTTCGACAACAATTATTAGAAAAAAATTTAAGGTAATTTAAATAATTAAAAGTACCAGCTTAAATCAAATAAACTCAAAATTGGCAAGCGCCCCTAGAGGAGTAAATTGTGCACTTTCGACCGATGATTTGCTATGATGTCTCGGTGTTTTTAATTTGTACTACCTCCTCTCCAAGATTTTTAATCTCTGTACAGAAGTACGGAATCACTCTGTATATAACAATAGTTTACTTTGCCTAGTCATTAAATTTCTGAGATCCCAAGAGATGAAGTTTCTGAGTAAGAGTATTTGAATGTTTATAGAGTGGAAGTAGGATCCAAGTGCATTTGGCAACACAGAGTAAATTAGTAGCCATTGATAACCTGTCACGGTAATGTAGCAGTCGGGCAAACAGTGGTAGGTTTTCGTTATTTTCGTTTCTATGTAACAGAAATTTGAACACGAATGTGTGCAAATACGAATTTGAAACAAAATCGAACATTATTGTCTTAAATCCACTTAAAATGGATATATATAAATTTTTTTTTTTAAATTTAAGTATAATAGCATTTATTCACAAAGGAAACGTGTCTTATACTTTTCGTTTCACGTTTTCAGCTTTTTATTTTCTTGCGAAACGCAGTTTTTTCAATTTTTTCTTTCGTTATTTTATTCTATTAAGTGCCATATTTGCTTAGGTCGAAAAATGATTGAAATTTCAATTGGCGATAAAATGACGTAAAGTTTGCTCGTACTGCTGTTCCCATGCTATGATACTCTAATTCAGGGGCTCCAGCTTGTACTTATAAAAGAATTTCGTAACTTTTATTGGCAAAGCCTAACACTTAGTGAGGAGTTTGATAGATATGACAGTTTGATACAGTCTTTATGATTTTTCCATGTGAATGGAAAAAAAAAATTCTGAATTTTTATATAGAGTTGTCCAAGCCAGAGGTTGAACTATATCACTTAACTATTATCATTCAATCAATTGCCGTAGTATTATGGTTCATAATGGCAAACTAAGTTGTTTAACCTATTTTATTTTAAAATGAAACTTATTTCATTTGGTTGCTGCAAGTAACTGATTGATTGTTGATAAATGTTTAGTAGGCAGGTAAGTGAAGTGACGCCATGTTTGACATCGCTATTTTTATATGAGTCCAAACAATGAAGAAAGGAAAAGCTTTTAAATATAGAATATATA